TCCGTCGTGCAAGCATAACCCGACGTAAAGCATCCACTCTATCGGGCCGCTAAATAATTAAATACAAAAAACAGTAAATAAACAGACATGATATTTAAACAGTGAAAACAAAGACAAATATGTTTCAAACTTGCATTGTATTCACCCAAGTCATTATTCTATCATAGTTCACAAAATGCATCAGATAACAAAGAAAAATATGTTTCAAACTAATACCCTGAAGTTAGTATTTGTCTTTGTTTTGTCTTTTGGTTGAAAGTAAATTATCCATTCAAGTTTCAATTTGCAGAAGAAGAAATAGTTTACTTTCGCAACACGAAACTTAAAATCGCAACGCGAAACCAAAATCGCAACGCGAAATGAAAATCGCAACGACAGAATCGCAAAGCGAAATGAAAATCGCAACGAAAGAATCGCAACGCGAAATGAAAATCGCAATGCGATTTTGGTTTCGCGTTGCGATCTTGTCGTTGCGATTTTGGTTTCGCGTTGCGATTCTGTCGTTGCGATTTTCATTTCGCGTTGCGATTTTGGTTTCGCGTTGCGATTTTAAGTTTCGTGTTGCGAAAGTAAACTATTTCTTCTTCTGCAAATTGAAACTTGAATGGATAAATTTACTTTCAACCAAAAGACAAAACAAAGACAAATACTATTTCACAGTGTTAAAGAATACACAGTTTAGCAGAATTGGCAGCAACCGAACAAATTTACTTTCAACCAAAAGACAAAACAAAGACAAATACTATTTCACAGTGTTATAGAATACACAGTTTAGCAGAATTGGCAGCAACCGAACAAATTTACTTTCAACCAAAAGACAAAACAAAGACAAATACTATTTCAGTGTTAAAGAATACACAGTTTAGCAGAATTGGCAGCAACCGAACAAATTTACTTTCAACCAAAAGACAAAACAAAGACAAATACTATTTCACAGTGTTAAAGAATACACAGTTTAGCAGAATTGGCAGCAACCGAATAAATTTACTAAGCAATCTAAGTGAAATGGCTAATCTAAGTGAAATTACGAGTAAATTTATCATTAAGTTAAATATGGAAAATCTTAAACTTACCTCGTTGCGTAGAGTATGAACCTCATTCTGCAACAATACTATCATCTCACGTAGAGCGGCAACCTCACCACGTAAAGTTGACACCTCCACACGCCATGCACCATCGTTATCGCGTAGAGTACCGATCTCCTCACGCAAGGCATTGACCTCATCACGTAACTCCCTTGACTCATCCCGTTGAGGTGGAGGTGGAGAACAGGGAGATAGGAGTCGTGGCATCTTTGCCGGTCGCCTATCATGAGGTGATGGTGGAGAAGAGGCTCGATGATGTGACGGGATAGGTGATGGCTCTCGTTCTAGAGGTGTATAGTCGGGTCGATCGGGTGATGGCTCTAGGTGAGGTGATGGCTCTCGAATTGGAGGAAGTGGATGCTGCTCATCATCCGTGCCATCAAAAAAATTCTGACTAGCTTGCCACCAATCAGTGGCAAGCTCTTCCTCCGTGGGTGTCAGTCTTTGTAATGGAATGTTAGCCTCCTAAAATATAAAAACTCAAACAAAGTTAAACGTCTACTATTAATAACTTGTTTATATATTATATGAAAGTATTTGTGTTAACTTACATTATTTATTGTGGCATATGGTATTAAGTCTTCCCAATCCAACAGAGTTTTCCTCTTCCAGGAAATAGCCCTGGGAATATCATTTGACGTTTTTATTGCATATGTACGCATGCTGGGAAAGCCTCGAATATCCAAATCTACAAACAATATAATAACAAAATTAGTAATTGTTAAATAATTAATTATAATTTTAGAAACATTATATAGAAATTCTTACCTTAAAGGCCCAAACAAAGCCTGACAAAGTGTATTTGGACCCATCGCCCCGCAAACTTTTGCGGTCATCAAAGGCAGACGACAACTTAGTCCAGGTAGCTTTCCATATATACGAACCCCACGGAAACAGATTCCATGCATTCAGGTCCTCTACCAATATTATTAGCTCCCGATGAATAGGTTGTCTGGCCTCTCTGCCTAAAAAGCCGGCATACACAAGTAGTAGAAGGCATACTCGGACAACATCGACGTCATCCATCCGAGTGAAACCAGCTTTCTTATTAAACAATTTCTTCAGGTCGTCGACATGTAGGTTCGGCTTCTCCATTGACTCATCTGGAAAAACCCGGATAACCATGATGGGCGGGCGATATGACGAGTGTACCGGCCTACATCATCGTGTCCGAATCGTAGACCAGTGATTAAGCAGAACTCCTTCCGCCCAAAACAAGTATACGCTGGTGGAAAATGAAACCATATCTCTTCCTCACCACGTTGTATACTGTCGGGTAGATTTGATGTCATGGTCTGAAGCCACAAATGGGTCAAATTAGCATCTCCACCGGATGCTGTACTCTCAGCCATGGCCCGAAGCAGGTTTCCTCAAACAATTGTCTTTGAGCAGGTGAAAGCTTCTTTGCAATTGTAGTGGCCAGGCTGACTTTATTTCTCAAGGTCAATTGAGCCGAAAAAAATTTCTACAAAAACAATAAACATACCAAGTTAGATATACCAAAAACTACACTGTGAAGATATACCAAAAACAATAAACATAAAAAGTGTAGTTTATTCTTGAAACTAAAATTTGCAACACTGTTTTGTCTTTTGGTTGAAATGAAAATCGCAACGAGAGAATCGCAACGCGAGATGACAATCGCAACGAGAGAATCGCAACGCGAAATGAAAATCGCAACGAGAGAATCGCAACGCGAAATGAAAATCGCAATGCGATTTTGGTTTCGCGTTGCGATTCTCTCGTTGCGATTTTCATTTCGCGTTGCGATTCTCTCGTTGCGCTTTTCATTTCTCTCGTTGCGACAGTCATTCTCTCGTTGCGATTTTCATTTATCTCGTTGCGACTCTTCTGCAAATTGAAACTTGAATGGATTGCATTACTTCAACCAAAAGACAGAACAAAGACAAAGACAAATACTAACTTGAAAATCGGAACGAGAGAATAGCAACGCGAAATGAAAATCGCAACGACAGAATCGTAACGCGAAATGAAATCTAAGTGAAATGGTTAATCTATTATTGAAATGACCAGTAAACTTATCATCAGTTTCAATATGAAAAACCTACAATAATGCAAACATTTCAAAATAAAAATAATTAAAAAAACTAACCCTCGGAGGTTGATTTTCCATTTCTGAATATTGTGAGGGATTTCTGACCGTGAATGGTTGTGAGGGATTTCGCCGGAGATGGGGACGGAAATCTTCGGAGATGGGGACGGATTTCTTCGCCGTAGAGAGTGAGAGATGGAGATGGGACTGAGTTGTGATTTTAGGTTTTAGGTTATGAGTTGCGATTACGGGATTTTGTCTTAATATTCTTTTTGTAATTTGAAAATAAAATACGCGTAGCGATTATAATGGCGCTTTAAATATCGCGTTGCGATTTACGGATACGCGTTGCGATTTTATGTATTATCGTTGTGATTTACGGATACGCGTTGCGATATACGGATACGCATTGCGATTTACCCATACGCGTTGCGATTTACGGATACACGTTGCGATTTACGGATACGCGTTGCGATTTATGTGTTCGCGTTGCGATTTTCATATTCGCGTTGCGATTTTGGAAAATCGCAATGCGAATTTGTACTATCGCATTGCGATTTTCAAGAATCGCGTTGCGATTTTGGAAACTGATTTGCGATTCTGGGGATCGCGTTGCGATTTTTATTTCGCGTTGCGATTTTGTTGGTCATTTTGGCAAATCCAAAAAAAGTTGGTTAAAATCGTATATTATAACTTTTTTTTGGTCACTGAGGCGATTTTCTCTAACAAAAAATACCGAGGATAAATAGAAAAAGAAAAACAATTGCAATTTAGATTAAAAAAAACACACGAAAAAATGAATATTGTCAACAATTGCATGTTCGTAACACGTACAAAAACGCATATATTTTCGAGAAGCATTTTTTTCTTTTGTACTTCATGCCTAAGACACAAAATTTACAAGAAAAAAATGTTTGCTTTATCACAAACTACTAATTTTCCGGTTTGGTGCGTCGGAGCTTAAGACGAGCATGTTGGATCCAGGAGTTACTTGGGGAATACAGAATCGAGTCATCGTCGTTGTCGAACTGGTATGCCGATGGGCTGTCTGGTTGACCGTGCCTCAGCGAGTCTACAAAGTTGACACGGTTCAATGCCGAGTTAAAAGCCCTCGCCGATGGACTTCTTAAGCCATTTGGAGATGGTGATGGTGGAATGTTGTTGAGACTTCGATCTTTAGATTTCTGCTCAATTGGATAAATCAATTATTCTTTTTAGTCAAACCAAATCGACTGATAACCGAAATTATCATAAAATCTCTTATAATAAACAAAACAAATTAAATATTATAGATTTAAAATTTAGAGTTTAAGATTACCGGATTACTAGGTTTTGTTGGACTGAACTTGGTAATTTGGCCTACTATATATTGAAACATTTCGAAGAATTTAGCCACCCCATTTCCGAGCAGTTCGCCGAGTAATGCGTGAAAACGTCCCACGCTCGAGCTCTCAGCTCCATGATCTTTCAATCCACTTCGGTTTCATGTTGTGCCATGAAAGGCCGGAAGATGGTGTCATACACAAAAGCAGTTCCCTACATTAATTGGTAAGTGGTCAATGATACTTTTATTATTCCAATTTTTATAGATTTAAATCTCGACATTTATCTTGAAATACAATACCTCTCTAGAATACCGATTTGATGAATTACTTTGGTTTTAGGATACCATAAGTAGATAAAAAAAATCCAAGCTTCATCTCTCCATACATGGGCAACCTTCATGATAGTTCAAATCTAATATTAGTAATCCAAGCGATCATATTAGAGCTATGAAAGTTGAGATCCGGACTAGATATTACGACTAAACCTGGGATGTCGCATAATTTAGAATCTGAAGAGTTTAGGGTATTATCATATACATACCAGGAAATGAATGTCTGTTATCCTCTCCAAAACAGTAATAAAAGCCACAAGGATCCTGTAAAATCCATAACCACCATAGATTTCCTTCAAACTAAGTGCATTAGGGCCTTAACTTAATTTCTTTCTCAATTGAAAATATAAGTTGAAAACTAAATGAAATGATTGTCATTTTGATACCAATATTTGCACCAAAATCTGAGTTCATCAATCTCAACCCTGCTCTTCTCCACCTTTTTAAAGCACTCAAACGCTGGATATGCATATCCAAAAACCAACCTGAAATTGTAAAACACAAATACAAGAAAACATATACTAATATAATAATTAAGAGAAGATTAAAAGACTTACACTAGCAATCTGGTTAGGAAATCGCCCAACATTTTTATTAATTAATTGTTTTTCTCCAGAATCTCCCGTGCTGATTTTCCTGGGGATAATGAAATAATATTCAATAAGAGAAGATTTGAAAATTCACTTTATTAAATCATTCATTCATGGTGAGAAAAGGGAAACTTAGAATTCCAAACCTGTTCCCAGAATAAAAAATGGATGGCTCTATAAGAAACAAAAAGAAGAAAAAAAGCTTTAAACAACAAAAAACCTGCAAAAAATAAAGAGGAAGTGAATTAGAAAACTCCCAAACAAACAAACAAACATGAAATATAAACAAATCATTGGGAAATGGTGAAAAAAACCTCGGAAACAAACTGAGAAAAAACTAAAATAATCAGTTTGATTATGAGGAGGAAAAATGAATTAAAATTGGATTAGATCATTGACGAATTTATAGCAGTTGTTAATGTTATTTTTATTTTCATAATGAAAATGATTGGCTGTAAAGAAAGGAAGTAGAGGAAACGAGGGACTTATTTTATTTGGATTCTTCAAACGGCTTAACCGTTTCTCAATTATGCCTTCCTCTTCCCGCTAGTTTCTACTTTTTATAAAAGAAAGAGTTAATTGCATCATATGTTCCTAAACTATAACCTTCATTTTAAATTGTTCCTTATATTTTTTAATATTCTAATTTCATCCCCAAATTATGACTCTCATTCTAAATTAGTTCTTAAACTTTTGAACATTCCAGTTTCATCCCCAAATTCATCCAAATATATAATTAGTTTTAACCATAGTTTAACTTCAATTTTATTTTAAAACATATAATAATAGAACTTGGCCTAATGATTTTGTTAACAATGGATGTGATTAGTGTATACGTATGTTTTGAGATGAAATTGAAATGTTCAAAAAGTTTGGGGACTAGTTTAGAACGGTTTTAGTTTGGGAATATAATTGAAATGTTCAAAATTTTGAGGATTAATTTAGAATGATAGTCGTAGTTTAAGGATGAAATTGGAATGTTTAAAAATTTAGAGACTAATTTAGAATGATCATCATAATTTAAGGACACATGATTCAATTAACTACTCTAAAAGAAATACTAAAACTTTGCACACTCACGTTAATTATTTTCTTAAAAATGGTTACGAGTAATTTTCTTAAGAAAAAGTTTATTTTTAAATATTTTTCAAAAAGATTTTTTTTGGCAAAAGAAAGACACTCTAAGAGCACTGAAGGTATCATCTTCTCAAATCAGTCCTGTCATGGTAGAGGATAAAAAAAATTCCAATGGGTGGCGCGGGCAGATCCGTCCCAGTGAGGCTAAGGCATCAACTACCTTATTAACATCATGGTGGATACGTGAAATTCTGACATCTCATTGAAGATCAAGGAGCCTGCGAATTCTTCACATCAACGTCATCTCGTTCTGTTAAGGTGGCATGTTTAGGAGTCACACTGCCTCGCCATTGTCCATCTCCACATCAACCTGTCTCCTACCATAGTCCCAAGCAGTTTGGAGCCCGTCGAGCAACGCCCAGAGTTCAGCATGAAGAACCGATCATCACCCAATATTTCGAACGTAGCCAATCAGACACCTGCCATCATTTTCACAAATCACTCCTCCACCTACTGCCTCTGTTGTACTTGGATTGATCTCCTCGTCGGTGTTGAGCTTCACCACTCCAGGCCTAGGGGGTGACTATCAGTGGTTTGTGTTGCGTTGACCTTGGCCACGGGGTGGCCCTTGCTGACTCCTCTGAATTGTTTTGGCCCATAACCACGTTGAAAGGGTGATCTCCAGCATTGACCACACATGCCCACTAAAAACAAAACAATTTTGCTGCTTCCACAGCCTACATATAATAATTCCAAAAAGGTGTCGCCAGTAGCACTCATCGCGATCAAAACCTGCAGTGTTAGAGATGTTTACCTGAATCTAATCAAGTAGAGGTTTGGAGAAGAACTCTGGGGTTGCGTGATTTGGGATCAGTTGCAACCAACCATGCGCGTTGTGGGACAATCTCGGAGCACATGAATGGTGGTTTCTTCTTCCATGCCACATATCGGACAAAGAAGGTCTATCATTAAGCTTCGCCTGGCTCGTTTGGTGTTGGTCATAATGTGACCTTGGAGAACTAACCATATAAATTGTTTAACGCGCTGACTATCAAAGTCTCAAGCAAGCTTCCAGAGGTTATTCTGGGTTCTCATTTATCATGTTGCATACCGAGGAAAGCCATCTTAACTGTGCAGGTCCCTATACAATCCCATCCCATGATGGTTGGTCCTCTCCTACTTCGTCGCACGGCGTGGAGATGAAATCTTTTGAATGATATCCTCATATAAGGTCTGTCTTAACCGGTGGATGTTCCAACCCCCATCATTGGAGATGTAGTCACGGAAAACAGCCTAGATGTCTATGATTTGACCCAGAATGACTAGCTAAATAAGAGGGTTCATCTCAGGAATCCAAGACTTGATCCAAAACTTGGTTCTTCTACCATCCCCAATGGACCAACAAACATTGTCCTAAATGAAATTCCAAACTATAGATAGAGATCTCAACACAAAAGAACTATTCCGTATTTCAATGTGCCTCAAAACTAGTTCTCTCATCTTGTACTTAGACTGAAGGACACAAAACCATAAAGCCTCTGGACGCATCAAAAGATTGTACCCAAGTTCGAACATGAAGGTCTCTTTTTGAGAATGAAGGGGTCGAATCCCCAATCCACCATTGATTATAGATTGGCAACATGTTCTCCAGCTAACCAAGGCCATTTTTGGATATTCTCACGATCCTTCCAAAATGAAACGAGCTGCAAAGTGCTCTTGGCTACTTTGTTGTGGAAGAGCGGCATACCAAGATACTTGTCCATGTCCATTGCAAGCTGATAGCCTAGAGGGGAGCATAACATTTCAATTATCTCTTCGGTAACATTAGAGGAGAAGAAGACTTTCGTTTTGTAGGAATTAACCTTATGACCAGAGAATCTACTAAACTGATCGAGAATCGCCCTTAGGAGGTTAGCTTGACTTGAAGTACCCTTGCAAAAAAGGACTAGATCATCAGTAAAAAATAAGTGGGATAGGGCAAGACCTCTGCGTCAAAGGATCATTGGTTCCACAAACCCATATCCAAGGCATAGTGAATGATGTGACCTAAATGCTCAATGCAAAGAACAAAAAGGTACGAGGAGAGGGGGTAACCTTGGCGTATCCTTCTAGAGGGCTTTAATTCATCAGTGAGGGATCCGTTCCAGATGATCTGAGTCGTGGAAAAGGATACTAACTCCATAATAATATGATGGAGACACTCGAGCCATCTATATCCATAAGGTAGTCAGAGAGGAAGTCCTTGTAATACCCCAAATATTAGGTCAGTGACTTTTGAAAGGATTTAAAAATTTGGAGGATTGAATTGAATAAACGGTAAAGTATAAGAAATGATTTAATTAAGACCAATTAATAAGAATGGAAGAATGAAAGGGCATTTTGGTCCTTTAGAATGAAATGAATTTAAAATTCATTTTATTAGGGATTTAAGAAAGGAAAAAATGGGGACAGTTGAAAACTAAACTAAGTCATCTACTCTTCTTCTTCCCCCATGATCCTGCTGTCCTCCATTGCCAAAGGTAAGGCTTCAGCTAGCTAGTTTTTCCTTTCGTTTTTGGTTTGTTCTTGAAACCTTAAGTGACGTGGAAGCTTAAGGAAGGGTTATAGAGGATTAAAACTAAGAAATGGATGATTTATTTGAGATTAAAGAAAATGAGTTTTTGAATGGTATGTTGAAATATGAGTTTTTATTGAGGTTTATTAGTAGATTTGATTTGTCAAAGAAGTAAATAAGAGATTAGAAGCCTTGGACGTGATTAAAAACATGTTAGAAAAAGTAGCATGATTCTTAGTTTGAGATGCTTTTTGGAGAATTTAGATGTTATAAGAAGCTAAATGGAGAAAAGTTAGTTGGGTTAAGTGATGATAAGTTTAAGGGTATTGTTTGAGGTAAAAGTAAGAGATTTAAACGAAAATTTGGTAAAAATCGAGCTGAAAAATAGAAAATATGGGTAGGGGCATCGATACTAGAAGAACAGTACTGATACTATAGGTTTAAATTTGAAGAATTAAGATGAACAATATCGATACTGATACAATTAGTATCAATACTGATGTGGGTATCGATACTAAGAGAAAGGTATCGATACTATGGATTCCAAAATGCAGAAATGGTATCGATACTGAAAGAGAGTATCAATACCATAGTAGAGAAATATCGATACCCGAGAACAAGGGTCCTCTACCCGAGACCCAACCCGACCCGACTCGACCCGAGTTAATTTTAATGGAGACTCACGTAAAAAAAATAATTGAGTTACTGTTCGGGTGGGTCGAGTAGGATTATTTTAATGGAGAGTAAAGTAAAGCATAAAAAAAACTATAATTGAGTAAAGTAAAGCTATAAAGCACCGAAAGTTGAAAAAAGTAAAGAAAAAAATAATAATTTCACGTAAAAAAATTTGAATTCACATCACAGTGAGAAACATAGATTTTAATGGAGAATAAAGTAAAGCAAAAAAAAACTATAATTGTTATGTCCACTGTAAAGCACTGAAAGTTGAAAAAAGTAAAAACAATAATAATTGAGTTACTGTTTGGGTCGGGTAGGATTATTTTAACCCTAAACCCAACAAGAACCTAAACCCAAATATTTTAATATAAAACCCAACCCGACCTGACCTGACTCTGAATATTTTTAAAAAAAACCTGACCCGATCGGGTTGGGTCGGAACCCGTTAGGTTCGGGTTCCATGCCCATCCCTAATGGTAAGGGTACCGATACTATTGAGCGTGAAATTGTAAGATAGGCTGAAATTGTAATAGAAATTGAAAATAGTAGTACTTTTGAGTATTATTAAAGTGTAAATGTTAGGGAATATACTAACATTGGTATGGTTTGTGTCTTTAATGAATGCTTGTGTAGATCATAACCAAGCTCCTGAGTCAAGCAAGAAAAAGAGCAAAGATAAAGTTATCGAATAGCCAGACATCATTACAG